TTTTTTTTGTTTTTTTTTTTTTTTTTTTTTGCAGGTAGTAATTCAGCCTTTCCATCTTTAGGTGGTGCCTGTGGGTCGCATAGGCAGCCCAGAATGGTTTTCATCTGTTCTCTCTTGTAACTGCTCTAGGTATTCATTTTCATGTGGCCGTTCAAGACCTTAAGGCTTTTTAAAACTCTTACATTTGCATACAAATTTCCCAGATATAAGAATTCTCCACATTCAAAAATACAATTTTTTGAAGTCGATGAATGAGGAAGTGATTTTTCATCTAACAAAAGGGATCTCTGCTTCTCGGATGGAGTCAGCTCCAGGATTCTTGGTAAGGGGAGTGGTGTAAAATCGATTTGCAAAAACTTGATTGGCATCTACCCATCTAAGAGCACATCTTTTCCACGAAGGGAGGCTCATGTGGGACAATCAAACCCTGTAGATAAAAATCAGATGGCGGCACGTGCTGCACAGCTTGGGTTTTCAAATCGCAGAAGAGATTGACTGGTTTCCATGGAAACGGCCCCCAACTCCCTCTAAAGGAGGCAGAAGCTTTTAGTGCTGAAGCAGGAAGCACTCGGGCGGCCCCGGGAGCAGAGCAGAGGTCTGCAGATCAGCTGGTCCTCTTGCTGTCCTAACAGCGACACAAACAATAGCACCCAGGCTATTTTAAGTTCCCACGGTTAAGGAGGTGCAGTCGCGTTAAGTGAAATACTTGGCTTGATATGTACTTTTTCTTTTCTACTCCAAATGTATTATTGGTAGAAACACTTGGAGAGAGAAAATGATGAATAAATAGTCTCAAAATCTATACTTGCCACCTCCTGGATAAATTCAAGACAAGAATATTCCCTAACTCGCTTTCTCTCTGGTCCTGTGTTTGCCTTGTAGTTTTTGTTAGAACCTACCGCATTACTATCTAGCTGGAAAAATTGCTGTGGTGTAGCCAGTTAAGAATGGTACTGGAAGAATCATAACAAAATGTCTTAGATAGGGTTTAAGTTAGGGGTGACATGAAGATTCAGGCAAAACCTAAAAAACAACAACCAGAAACACAGACTTTTGGTATTTGATTTCATGGCAATAGTCCTTGTCAAATAGGAGCAGCTGAGTTCTGTTGCTTTTGCAGATCTGACACCACAGAGAGCTGTGAGCCTGAGCCCCGGACCTGCCGTGTGTTCCTAGCTCCATCTTCACCACTCACGACCAAAGAAACACTCTATTTGGACTTCAGACATCACTGACCACACCTACATGGAGGTCCTATGGCACGTCTCCTCACATCAAAAAAGAATATGGTATCTGCTCAAGTGAGTCATTGTGAAAACCATGCGACTTTGCACTGGCACACATCACAGAGATGGGACAACCAGCCAGTTCGCTGCTCAAATTTGCCTGTGATTTGTCCTCAGAAGGACAGAAAATCTACTTCTGTGCTGTTTTCTCCCATCTTACAAAACCTGAACCCTGAAACAGGCTAGTCGAAATGGAAACAGAAATCTACTGACTGAAGTTGTTATTATTGCTTAATTATTCATAAGAATGTCTTGAAAGTATGTCCTCTATAGTCTATCATCCCACTCTTATGAGAATTAAATACATACTTAAAGTTTTATTAAGACATTTAAAATATGGCACTTTCTTCATGATGGGAATGACCTCTGGTTAAATGAACGCACACAGTAAAATACGTTTTGCTGCACATCACGGGCAGAGGTGGGGGAACCTACTTTGTATCAATTCCATTAACTCCTCAAGAAGGAGTCCAATCACATCCAACTTCAGAAACATTTGTTTTCTAGGGGTCAGTATAAGCTGCCATGTGCCCTTGCTGGACATAATGTGGGTTAAATGTCCAGATAAAGTTGAGACCAACCTCTCTCACCATCTACTTGGAGGATAAGCTCCCACTGGTGCCCACAGCAGCGGGCCAGGGCCCTTCATCAGTGTCTGACCCAGCATCTAACCAGGGCATGCCTGCTGGGTGATACTGAGCCAGCCAACTGTGCAGTGTATCCCCAAAATCAGTTGACAGGAAAAAATATCTTGAACAGACACATGATTTGTCATCTTGATAGCATTAACACCTTATTTTTAAAAATCTTATAAATAAAGTACAACCAGCATGTCCGGACTCTACCTAAATTAATTATCTCTGTAGCTGACCTAGTCTGATTGAGTCAGCCCTAAACAGCTGGCTTTCGAAAGTGCCCTGATTTTGAGCTTAGTAGCTAAAACATACAGAGAAACAGGAGTATTTGGAATACAGTATAACATGTCAGACTGAATTCTTTGAAGAATTTCACAGAGAGTCCCTTGAATAGTGTCACTTCTGTTTCCTTGTTTTATAAGAAAAAGCTCCAACATGAGGACTTAATTAGTAAAATACTATGTATATATGTATGT